GGGGTTTTTTTTTTGTATAACCCTTAGAAAGATATATGTAAGAGTGCCTATAGACAGAATTGTTTGTTTATTTTTGAATTAGATTCTAATTCAAAAAAAAAGAATCTCATTTCATTTTTTTTGTATTCTATTTGGACCAAAAATCTTTTGGCCCATCGACAAAAACCTTGCCCATTTTATCCGTCGTTTTTTAAAATTTAAAGCAAGTTTGACGTGCTAAAATCTCGTAAAATTATGAGCATGTTGAAGTAAACCTTAGATAGAACATAGGTAGCCGATCATGGTAGTTTCAATACGCATGTACTCAAATCAATATGGAAAAGGTGGAGTTTGTGCGATTGTATGCGATGGCTATATTTTCAAATTTGAGAGTACAGAAGCAATTTTTTAATGAACAATGCTGAGTTCAACGCGCATGTCAGTGTCACAAGAGACCTGGATAAGTAAATTGAATCCCTTTCTTATTGAATAATGATACATAAGAAGCAGTTCACGTCTGTTCAGAATACCAGGCTCATCTGTCTCCAGGTCCGCGTTGTATTCCTCAAACAAGAGACCTTAGATTTTAGAAAACAATGGTCGCCTAGGCAAAAGCCTATATGGTATGCGTTGCCGCCCACAATCGTCGAATTCGGCACGATCGAAAATCTGTAATTTTTCAAAATCATCGCAAATAGACAATAATTAAAAAATCAACTCTTTTTCTTATAGAACTTCCAGAAACCTTGCTGAAAAAAATTGCGAAAACGTACACTAAAAGACTAAAAAAATATCACAGTAATAAGAACAGAAGACTTTAGATTGCAAACTATGTGCTTTTCTAAAAATTGAATTTTTTTCATTTCTTTGGTAAAATGAGAGAAAAACTTTTTCGTACTACACACCTATTCTTTATATACGAACTCTCATCAAACAAAAAAAGCGATCCTGCGATATTCTCATTTTTTTGTTAAAATTTATGTTAGTGAACATGTTTGTCATTTTGTTCTCATTTTCCGTGGATCATGATTTATTTCTAAATTATAGGTTATTCAAATAAACTTTTTTAAAACAAAATTTTAACGACAAATAACTTGTTTTGGATGCTGCTATTTACTGTTCATTTTTTCTGTTTGTTTGAAATAAACGTGTGTACCTTTATACTGGAAGAAGAAGTTTACTTAGGGTACGCCTATTTAAAATTACTTTTTCTTTTTTGCTTTCTTCCTTACACTACTAGAAGAAAGGCTACGAATATTTTCTTTTTTTTTTTCGTGATAGAAAGAATCAAAAAAGCCATTACCAAAAGCAGACAATGATTTTTACTAGGTTAGCAACACGTCAGTTATGTCTGTTAGCATCAATATTTCTAACTGGAGTTGGCTTTATCGGTTCAATTATATTAATTATTATTTGGCAAGTTAAATTGACACCATTTCGAGATTATGGAGTTGTTATTGATGCCGGTTCCTCACATTCAGAAATATATTTGTACAGGTATGTCTCATAGTTCTATCGTCTCAGTGAATTTGTCTCTATTTTTTTTCTGTATAAAAGTTGGCCATCGGACAAATCAGATGGAATCGGACTAACATCTACAGTTAAACAAGAAAATGCTTGGCCTGTTCCGAATGTTGGAGGAATATCAGGAATTTCTCCGGGTACTGTGGATACTATTACAAATTATTTTCAATCGACAATACAAATGTGTCTGAATGCCATTCCAAATACACGAAAAAGTCGAACACTCATATTTTTAGGTAAATATTGAATAACATTTCATATGAATAATTGATTTACTTTTATGTTAAGTTAGTTTTCCTTATTCTTAAGGTGCAACAGCAGGTATGAGATTACTTAATATTGAAAATCCAACATTATCAAATAATATACTTCAATCTATTCGAACATATTTTTCACAGTTACCTCTATTATTTATTCAACCTGAAATTCAAGTTCGTATTATTAGTGGTTCAGAAGAAGGTTTATCTGGTTGGATTACTGCAAACATTTTATATAAACAACTTTATTTAAATAATAAACCATCAGAAACCTATGGTATTATGGATATGGGTGGTGCAAGTACACAAATATCATTTATTGATGAAAATGATCCAGGACATCCATCTGATGTGGCAACTATGAATTTATTTAATACTGATTATAAGGTTTATTCTCATAGTTATTTATGTTATGGTCAAGATCAATTACGGTATGCGTATTGGCGAAATCTAATTTACAATACAACTAGTCCAACTCCATTAACCGATTTTACAATGATTAATGATCCATGTTTACAAAGTAATTATACATTGTATAATGTTTCACAGTCATTATTATTCAATAACGCATGTTCAAAGCAAAATTCTACAATAAATTCAATATATTTTAATTTTGTTGGAACGGGTAATTATAATTTATGCTATGAAAAAATTCGGTTTTTGATCGATAAAACAAATTGTACTCAAATTCCAACATGTTCATTCAATAATGTCTATCAACCTATTCCGATATCATCATCAAATAAACTCGTCGGTATATCATCATTTTATAATACATTCAATACTCTTGCTGGCGATCAATTAACTTCCTTGTCAACCGGAATATATTCACTAAATTCATTCAATTTTACATATATAAATTCGATTATCAGCAAAGTGTGTAATACACCATGGTCAGGTATAAATGTTGATGGTTTTCGTCAATATTTATGTTTACATTCAACTTATCATTGGTTATTATTACAATATGGCTATAATTTTACCGATGCCAATTTGAATAATCTTCAAATAGTACAAAAAATAGATGGTAATGATATTGGATGGACACTTGGATACATGATAAATCAAACAAATTATATTGACAAAGAACTTCGACCATTTAGAATGTTAACGGTAGCTGAATTTGGTGGACTATTATTTATGTTTTTATTTCTTTTTCTCATAGGAACAATAGTGACAATTTTCATCATTTGGTTTAGAAGAAGTATTGCTAGAAAATATTAATTTATAGAAATATTACTAATCATAACAATCGACTAAACGTTAAGTAATTTATAAATTCTTATTAGAATAGAAAATTCTTCACATCCAAATAGTCCGAGTGATCCCATGATAAGGGTAGAATTATTTGTCGAATTACAAGATTAAAAGTCATTCTTGAGAAAGTTTGGAGTACTTCTGAGACTACGCGTTCAAAATATTTTTTTTTTGCTCTTATTAATTTCAACAGCACAAAAGAAAACTCATGTTTTATTATAACTGCAAGAGAGAGACAACTGAGTTTTGGATATTCGTCGATTTTCACTGATTTTCAACTACTTTTTAGGAATCAGACATAGTAAAAGTAAAGCAAAAAAAAAGTTAAAAGAAATGTTAATGTTTTATTTTGCTCATTTGCATTACGCGAGATAAACGATCGTTGATTTCCCTTCTGTTAATAAATAACAGCAATTGTCAGTGATTTTTGATTTGAACCGATTTTTTAAGCTCGAAAATCAGCTGTTTCCCGCTTGTATAATTGTCGGGGACACTGCAAACTTATTCGAGAATCGCTTTTTGACATCATGGTTCTGACAGTTTTATGCTATAATTCTATTCTTGCTATATGTAAATATATCTCACCTCAAAGCTCTCGTATTTTAGTGTTATTTACTTGTACTTTTTGTTTTTGAGATAAGTCAAAACATTTATTTAGATATGAAATGAATAATTTGTAAATCAAAATAAATATTGAGCAAATATAACGATTTCCGGCAAGAAGATTACTTTCGAAGCCATTGTGGTAATACATCAGCTAGGAAAAAACTAAGAAGTCAGTCAGGATTGACGATATTTTACTCAAGATTTATGTACCAGGACGTCAATATCGCCATCCGTTTTCTACTGCAGTTGGTTAGGAGATCATTTCTGAAATTTGACAAATCTCTTATTACAGTGATTCAAAAAAGCTCTCGATGACTATGTATTAGCTCTACAGTGTAAGTATGTATACGTGACGTTCAATGATTCTATATAATAGTCAACAGTTATTTTACAGGGAACTCCTTCAAATATTCAATAGTTTTCTTCTAGAAGCATAGCTGATTAAGTTTAACTTTTGATGATAATTACAAATCTGATATCCGTTTTTGAACTTAGGACTTTTCTTTATGGATCTCTGGAAAGGTTCGTCACCGTTTCATTCTGACACAGCTAGTATAAAGAGATTTATTTACCCATGTAATCATTTTTTGATAATTAAAAAATAGATTTACGATTTGCGATTTTCGTTAAACATTGAACCCATCAGTTTTAAAGTCTTATATTTCAGTAAGAGCTCATTTGTTAATCCTCAAAAAATTGTTTCATGGACAAATCAATCTCTTGATACTAGCTGTACTATATTAGATTAAATCTTCTTAAATGCAGCAACAAACGGCGTGTTTTATTAACAGCCATGTTCACAGAGCAATGATATTCTTAGATTCCATTATTCTTATTTAATGGCTACTAATTCATCCTGTGTACGACTATCAAATCGGTTTCTACTGCAATTTTCTTTTGATATCTAAATATTTTTGTATAAATTAGGACGCATGTTCATAGAGATGTTGTACATCAACGGTTTATTATGATAACTCTCTAAGAGTTGTAGCAATTTTCTAGATCCATTGCTAATACCATTGAAATACCGAAAACTCTTCTTGTAATCAGCATACCTTGGCACCGTATAATACGTTTACAATTGAGATTTATAATAGATAATCATTATTTCGTTCTTTTATTATTAATAAAATATAATTTTTAATATAGTTTTATTCTTACAATTATTATTTTCAACTGCTAAATGTTTCGATGTTTACCAACGTCAGCATAACAATTTTTAGAAAAAGAATAGCACATTTCTGTAGTCCGATGTTAAATCTACAGTTACGGCCTAACGAACAATTTCTTTCCACATATATTTCGTCTTTTCTCCAGCCCATTTCTTTCTTTTCTTTGTGTTCACATCTTGTATTGATACACATGACGTAAAATACAGCGAAGAAAAGAAACGAATTTTAATTCAGATGTTCTTTTATGATTGCTCCCTAGACAACCAAACTTACAGCAATTCTGTAGGGATCTAATAGAAATCTTATAAGAATCTTAGATAAAGCAGTCGATGGAAATACATAAAATATTGATAAGAGTCTTATACGAAGGAATATAAGAATCTTGTAAGCTTCTGATAAGAATTCAGCAAGGCAGATTCTATAATTAGTTTTAAGATAAGTTAACATACGAACTTTTCGTTTCATCAGTTAAAACGTCTGACTGTATCCAAACTGAATGATTAATCGTGTATTAAATGGGATCCTACGAAATACAGGAAATCGTTTTAAGATCCTACGAAATCCTACGTAATATTATCACAGGAACTCATGTGATTTCTATTAGGATAGTGTGGTACTTCTTATAGGATTCTATCATCTGAATTCTACATTACCATACACTACGAAACTTATTAAATGCTGTGAACTTCTATATAGGATTACCTAGTTTTTGTTTTGTATTTCACTAGTAACAACTCATTTAAAATGTACTTTTTAACAATACATTCTCTGTTCCGATCAATCAAGAAACTTGTTTCTTTGACTGACTATTGAATCATGAGTCATGTGAGTAACTGTGCAGGAAATTCTTTTGTGACTGAGTCTAGTGCTTTAGTAGGACAAATATAAAAGAAATTTTGATGCATATTAGTAGGAATCGAACTGCTCTAACCTCTACCACTTAAAGAGACCAAATTGAATACCATCTTTATAGTGGAAAAAGGTGCATTTTGCTAGAAATCGGTTCGAAAAAGTAGAATTTATTTCAAGAAGCGAGATATCTTTCTTTGTATTCTCCTCTCACATAATTTTATTTTTCGAACTTCATTTTCTTTCTATGATCATGATAGATTTGGAGAAGTAATCCGGTCTAGCGGCTGTCAATTCTAACATGGATCATTACGATTCTTATATGAATCTCACCAGTTTCTTATATAAGATTCTTATTCTACTCATTTCCATCGACTGCCTTATTAATAAATTCATAAGATTTTTGCAGATATTCTAAAAGATTCATATATGAATCCTATATAAAAAAATTTGATAAATTAATTTTAAAAAAGAAAAATTTGATCTCTAGATTTATTAAGACGCTTTTGGCGACGTAGGATCGCTTTACACATAGTTGTAGGATTGATGCCTTTTTACTATATACTTTAGAAATTACCTATAAACCATTTCTTTTTCGTATTTTTTAATTACCCAAATCTGTTTTGTAGTAAATGACAACAGATAATAGCGGTACAATAAACCGAATCAACGCCATATCATCTGCATTTTGTGTTCTTAGAAGTGTGAACGAGTGTTAATATTTTGGGTTGGATACAGTTCAGCGAAAAGCTTGAAATTAATCGTTCAGATATATTGCGTTAAAACGAGACATGGATAAGTAGTGCTTAACATGCCAATCAAAAAGTTGTATTAGGTAGCCTAGGTTAGGTTACGAAAAACGTGAATAGGTTAGGTTGGGTTTATA